GAATTAAACAGCACACCAAATCAAACTTGCCTACTATGTCTCATATTTAAACAGTTCAATCTATCGAATTACTATATGTTCATCACTATGACCTCCACAATCTATCTACATTATATAAATGACTCAATAATCCTTAGGATAGAGTTTTTCTGTCTTTCTGAAGTGTAATTATTACTGCTCATCTATTTGATCTGTCACAAATCAGTTGTTGGTATTTCTATGCTTTTTCGAGGTGGTCATTTTCAATTACAGTACCGAATGTAGTATTGCATACAGAGTTCCAACCAGGTATTTGTAGGTAAACACTAAATTCTACGGAACTAATATTGCATAAAATATCAAGGTTTCATAGTTAAAAAGAGAAAGCGCTAACAATAAATACAATTTTTGTTATATCCTAATGAGTAGAAAAAAAAACTATTTCTGACGTTTCGTGACTTAATGTAAGCTACTTCTTCAGAGTGAACAAAGGCATTAAGTGATATTTTTCTTAAAGTTTGAAAATTTGTAATAATGAGAACCTATGTAATAGTCTCAAATTATCAAAAACAATTTTACATTCAATATTTATATGTAACTTCAGTCAACGGCTAATTGTATATAAATCTTTACTATCGTGGATGCGTACTGCTAATGAGTCATACAATAGGACGAAACAGCCGTACAGTACTTCCAGGTTTTCTATGGTAGTGGTCTAGCTTCAAATGATTCATGATCTCAACCACTGAAACTTTACTATTTTGTTGACATATTACTGAAGTCTGAATATGGTTTTGAAACCTCAAAAAATTCTTTCAAGTAAATACTTATTTCACCATTAAAATTTTGGCTTGACGATATTGACATTGTTATGAAACATGATGAATGTTATTTGGATCTAGTATAGAGCTTTGTATAAATACTTTTTAGGTATTCTAATAATAAGAAACAACACATCTTTTGTTCCATAATATTCATTATTTGTAATGTAAATTACTTTCGAAATGTTTCAGTTCTAATGTTCCTTATCATATTAGGCAATTTAATCATTTTTTTCCTTTGTTATACAGCCTCTACCAAGGAAGTCCTACTCACTGCCTTCTCGTGGCGGGGGTGTTGTTTAAGAAAATGAGAGGACGAAAAGCAAATGTCCGGCGCTTTAATCGGATTCCAAACCAATGGTGCACATGGGTTCCAGGATCCTGAGGAAATAAATGACGTATGAACCAGTTATTGGTCATCGGCTACCATGGGAATGCATCTCCTCACGATGCCCCACTGCCTTGTGGATCAGACCTTTAGGTCAGAGGCTCGGGGAGTGGCCCCCTAAGAAAACCACCTGCTTTGGTTTGGGCACCCGGGCAGTATCACAGCCCACACACAAATATAGTGTGGCGCAAATATATTTGGTGCCCTCTTGTACCAATATTTATGTGTTCAAATAATAATAATAATTAATAATTTCTTAATTTGTGACAAACGAATTGTATAGAAAAGTAATAGTCTTCCGAGTATCTTACGACATTACAGTGTACTCTTGATGGAAGTATGTTCATTCTTATTAGAAACAGTAACATGACCGTGTACTAATTGGATTCAACTGATAAACTCTTGTACTTTATTTTGATACTTGTGAAAATTCTTTAGAGCGTATCAGTTTTTCTCTTAAATTTTACTTAACCCAGTTAAGTTTTGCTATAATGAATGGACAATTTCCAGCAACATGTTTTACTACGAATAGGAATTATTACTTGCTTATGCCTGTTACTCCCAATGGAACATAGGTCACCAAGCAGCATTCTCCAACTCAATCTATCCTAGGCCTTCCTTTTTAGTTCTATCCAATTATCTTTCATTCTTCTCGTGTCTGTCTCCATTTCTCAGTGTAATGTGTTCTTTCGACTTTCTCTTCTCCTTTGGCCTTGAGGATTCCATGTGAGGGCTTGTCTTGTGACGCAGTTGGGTGCTTTCCTCAATGTGTGTCCTATCCACTTCCAGTACTTCTTTCTGATTTCTTCCTCCGCTACGATCTGGTTTTTTCTCTCTCATAGTAGGTTGTTGCTGATAGTGTCCGGCCAACGGATCTGAAGTATTTTGCGTAGACAACTGTTAATAAACACTTGTATCTTCTGGATGATTGCTTTCGTAGTTCTCCGAGTTTCCGCCCCATACAGTAGAACTGTGTTGACATTTGTATTGAAAATTCTAACTTTGATGTTGTCTGACAGACAGTTGTTTTGAATTGCAGATGTTCTTCAGTTGTAAGTGGGGATTATTAGTAATAAAAAAATTGAAACTGTTTTAATCTATATTTCGAAGTTTCTAATAGTGTTAAATCCCTTCTGGTTTCAGAGTTAAACTCGAAAAAATCTAAGTTAAATTTTGATTATTGTATTGTATATACATTGGGGTTGGATATCATTGTTTAGTGTATTGTTATTCAATTGGTATTAACCACTTCTAATTTATGTCATATCAGGATGAAACAAACGTCTCTGACTGTCAAGCTGGGTGACACGATATCGAATCCTCCAGGGAGCACCAGTTCCCTCAAGATTACAGGTACACCTTGCTGACGAGTGCCAAGTAGCACGAAACCCGGGTCCAGGGTTTCTTGTTGAGTACCTCCAACCACCATCTAAATCTCAATATATAGTGCCCGCAATGTCGAGTCACCTAGACTGGTGGCCACATAGCATTCGATCTGCACTAATAAGGACTAGACAAGCATGACATTGATCACCACCCAGTGATCAATCAATTGTGACAAATCTAATCCATTTAAATCCACATTGTAATAACGGTAATCTTCATAGTTTACTCATCTTTCGAATAAAATATTTATCATTAACTGACATTGCTTAAAAAATTAATGAAAAGAAAAAATGTTTAATAGCTGATTTTGTGTGTGATCAAATCTAGACTAGATCAATGTCTTTTAAGCTTCCAGTAATTCTCCAGCTATTGAGATCAGTAAAAAACCTATTAGACAATCACTGAAAACTAGGAAACACCGAGAAACTGTTTAGTACTTCTCAGAATTGCATCTGCCGAAGGTAATAGATGTTTGCACTCTGTTGTGAATTGATTGTAATCAGACATGAAAATCAATGAATGTCAACACAATAGTCTGAAGGTTAAAGTGCCACTATAAGACGTGGAAGTTTTGAGTTCGATACGAATTCATGGATACTTACTTATGAAGAGTTGCCTATCACAATGAAACAGCTGTCCAATGCTTCTTAGTTTTCAATAGGTGTCTAGTTTAGATTGGATTGTGATGTGAATAACATTCAATTCTTTAAATAACTTCAGGTAATAATAAAAACAAACTTCAAATGAAATCACCTATCTACATTATAAATTTTTAGTAGACAACCGTTTGAAATCATAGGTCCTGGGTTCGAATCTCGCGGGGTTTGGGATCGTGGGTGCGCACTGCTAAGGAGTCCCATACTAGGACGAAACGGCCACCCAGTGCTTCCAGGTTTTCCACGGTGGTCTAGCTTCAATTGACTCATGATTTCAATCTATGAAATTTCTAGAATCTCCACAAACCCCTACTGATAAATATATAATTAATTTATGATTTATAATTATTAATCATTAGTTACATATACTTTTTGTGTTTCTGGGAACGTTTCTTTTTGTCTAATGATATCCGCCTTATTTCCTTATCCCTCCACCATCTACACCAACCATCTTTTCTTCATCAATTATTATATCTTCACATGACTTACCTATTTTATGATAACATGAGGTATTTGATAATCGCTTTTCCGAATGATCAACTTATCTACTTATATCTTTCTTCTCTCCGATAATTTACAATGTTAATGATGATAAGTATATATCTATATGGAATGCTTATAATTAGAATGATGATGATGATGTTGTTGTTGTTGTTGGTGGTGGTGGTGATGATGATGATAATGACGTTAGTATTAGGGAATAATAAATAGATATTCTTATCTTCTCTTTTATGCAACCGCTTTTCAATATTATGTTTGAAGTATCTGTCATGTTGTTACAATAGTCTATTAACCATCTAATATTATTAAACTCTGGTATATATATATGTTTCTCATATCATAAGATATTATATGACATTCAATAACCACTCCTTCTGGGAATGAATCAAATACTTTCATTCAGTATGTTCACTATTGTAGACAACATTAATCTTATACACTGTTATCACTGATAGAAATCACAGTAATTAATTATTTAGTTTGTATTTGTAATTGTAAAATACTGTTTTCACCAATACAGGTATAGGTACAACACAATACAGTTCAATACAGTATACATATAATATAATTATGAAATGTTTGTCTTTAATTTGGTTAAACCAATATAGGAGAGAAATAAATCAACATAATAGAGAGAGTGAGAGAGAGAGAGTGTGTGTGTGTGTGAGTGTTACAAGTCAACATGAACGCAAGACTAAATTAGTTGTATAAACTTAATCGTTTCCGTTTTATATTATACTTAAAAATCAAAACAAAATAATATGAAACTAAGTAACTATGGTAATATGATTATATCAATATTATTATATCATTATTATATGTATACATAATACCCCATGTATTTGTAGCCTAAATACAAGTGATAGAATCTCTCTCTTTCTCTCATTCATCATAATGATCTTTTGAATATCCCTTCATTCTCTTTCTTTATTTTATTCAATGAATATCATTATTGAATTGTGAATGAATGAATTAATTAATTAATTACAATCGTTGAACATTATTTCATTAGTAACAATAAAGAGTACATTTCAAGTGAATTTGTTTAATCCTACCCCCCCCCCCCGTGGTTGGTTATTTTAAATTATTTATGAAACAATATAATTAACATTGTATAAGTGTATATTATTGAATGGTTTCATTGAAGTAAACAAATATACATACTACTCATAGTTTGAAAGAATCATTTTATGAAAGGATGAAATGGATCGAAGTAAAGATACTTTAAAAAAAAAAGATTAATCCGCATGTATTTTCTTTAATTACTATTCATCTTGAATTCATATTCCTATCAGATTCATTTGACATTGTTGTAGTTGTTGATAAGGTTGGTGTAGCTGTAATAACAGTAGTAGTGTTAGTATTGGGTGTAGTATTAGTAGTAGTAGTAGTATTAATTGAATGTGGTATAACAATAATATCAGTAATATTTGAAAATTCCACCGGTGCTTCTAAATCATGTATTGGTTCACCTTTTTCATTCCAAAATGGTGATCTTACACGTTCACCTTTACGTTGTCTAAATGCCATTACACGAAAAGCATTATTTAAATAATCTCTTAATTTACCTAAAGCCATTGGTTCAGTAAAAAAATAACCTGAACCAAATTGTAATTGTGCTTGACGTAATACAGCACTCATTACAATTGGATCAATAGGTGCTTTACCACCGGAACCATTATAATTATGTGTAACTAAATAATGTAAACTAAATAAACTTTGTAATAGACGTAAACATAAACGTGGTCCTAATTCATGTGGTTCACCACGTACCATTGTTAAACATTTACAATATGCCCATAATGGTAATGTAACAGATTGTACACCACCAATAAATATTTCACGTGGTTCATCAGGATTTAATACAACTACTGGACGATCAATTAAATTATTATTCGTATTGTTAGGATTATTATTATTATTATGTTGATGATGATGATTACCACGTAAGTTTGATGCAGAAGAAGACAATAATCCATTAGTATTGTTTATATTGGTTTCAGGAAATTGTAGATCAGTTAAGAAATTCGACTTTAATTTTTGATCTATTATTGATGTAAATGCTGGCGATGATGATGATGATGATGGTGGTGTTGTTGTTGTAATTTGTGATCCTAAAGACAAATTTGGCCAATGAGTATTAGGAAGATTAATTGTTGATCTACGAATAGCTTTCAATGCAGATGTTGTCATTATTGAATTGAAATGATTTGGTTTATTACATAAATGTAAACGATTATTAGATAATGAATAATTTTGTTGATATCTATTGAGGTTTAAACATTTTGTTTTAAGACGTCCAAATTTATTACCACGAAAACGTATAGACGATGATGATGATGATGAAGATGTTGGCATTGTCGTTGGTGAAGTTGACGATGATAAAGTGGATGATTTACGATTTGAATTCAGTAAATCATTTGAAGTATATTCTGAACTTGACAAAAACATTGGTGAATATAATCGAGAGGATTTGTGCTAAATTAAAATATGGAAAAAAATAATAAGAATATATGATTGATTATAAGTCAGGTAGAACACAATTTATGAAACGATAAAAATGCCGATTGTTATTATTATTCCAATGGTTGAGATCATGAGTCAATTGAAGCTAGACCACTACCATGGAAAACCTGGAAGCACTGGATGGCCGATTCGTCACATTGTGGGACTCTTCGGCAGTGCACATCAACGATCCCGCCCCGCGAGACTCGAACCTGGGACCTATCAGTCCCGTACACGAGCGCTCAACCACTAGACCTCTGAGCTTGCAGGCATTCAACGGTGTTAATGTCTAACTTATTATTATTATTATCAAGAATTAGCTTTGTAAGACAGGAAAATTATCACCATATTAAAACACAACTATATGAACGAATAATATTCTTTTCAATAATTTCTCATCACGTTCTACAATTATATATCCAAATTAGTAATTCATAGAAATAGTCAAGTTCAAGGCAGAGTACATCATTCAAAAGTATAACATGTGAATCAATGATTGTTTGTCATATCAAATCAAATCGTAGATTGGTTAAAGTTAGACATCAACACCGTTGGATGCCGACCAGCTCAGTGGTTTAGAGGTTAAGCGTTCGCGCGCGAGACCGAATGTCCTAGGTTCGAATCCGGCGAGCAGGATTGTGGGTGTGCACTGTTGAGAAGTTCCATACTCGGATGAAACGTTACAACATCATCAAAATGATTGATAAATGTGGGGTTTGTGGAGATTGCAACATCTTCATAGTTGAAGTCACCAGTCTAATTAAGTTTGACCGCCATTGAATAGTTGGAAGTATTGTATGGTCGTTTCGTCTAATTAACTAGGCCAGAATTTGGTTTAGGTAAAAGGAATGGTTGAAAAAATTTCCTCTGAATGCAAAGCTTCAGCTTCTTGATCTGAATAGCTATTACTTCAGCCGTCTGACGGATTTTGGCAGATAGCTTTTAACACTATATATTATTGTAAATAATTGCTCCATGTTGGCTTTACGGTGCGTTAGTACCAAATGAGTTAAAATTAAGGTGTCAACAGTTTTAACTACACTAGAGGAGTGCTCGCAAGCACGAAAATACGAATCCCTAGAACACTTCCCAATATAGCTTACTCTGCAAGATTAGTTGAACTGATAAATACAGAAAGAGGTGACTAGTTTAGGTAATTTATCTTTCAATCTTAGAATGACCACCGGCCGTGTGGAAAACATTAGTTGTAGTTTACTTTCATTAAGGGTTCTTTGGATTACTCTGTGCAACTTTACTATACCAATTTCACTGAGTGCATCACCTCTAAATTGTAAGCGTATATACAGGGATGTTTTGCTCAAAATCAGGTCTTCCTTATGCTTCCTTTTTGCTTTTCTTACTAAAAAGGTTTGTATGGATTTTATGAAAGAACAGCGTCTTATGTCTTATTACCAAGAATTGTTTAGAGTGAGTTGGATTAATAGAACAAAATATTGATTTGTAATTCTGAAGACATTCATTATTATTATTATTATTTGAACACATAAATATTGGTACAAGAGAGCGCCAATATATATGCGCCACACAAAACAATGGAATTCGAAGAGAAGTAGAAAGAAAAAAAACTAAGGAACGCAAAAGAGAACAATGACGAAGAGATTGGAGTAAGGTAGTGTGGTAGTAACGACGAAAAGGTACAATCAGAAGAAATCTTTCAGGTAAAGGAGACACAACCACTTTTTATGAAGAAAGTAAAAGAAGGTTACAAAAGGATCGCCACTGGCTTCTATTCTGAGCCATATCTGATAACGTCTCTAGCCACTGTGTAGCACCATCTCTCGGACCCCAACCAGGGAGTCGTGAAGGACCAACACAAGCCAGTCCTTTGCAGCTTTCTTTCATGCCACGATACCATGTCATGCACTGACCACCTCTCCGCTTCTTCCAACCAGTCCCAGAGTCGGCAAATAATGCACGACGTGGAATTCTCTGGGACGACATTCGGAGAAAATGTCCAAGCCACCGAAGTCGGTGTTTCAAGATGGTGACACCAATTGAGTTATCATCTCTGTGCCCGAACACACGATGCCGAAGGTGGCCCAGATTGGCATAAGCCGCTCTGGCTTTCACTATTCGTGCATTGATCTCATCACTCACACCCCCACCAGCACTTATGCAGCTACCCAGATACACGAACTTCTCGCGTATACAGCCTCTGCCAGGGAAGTCCTACTCATTGCCTTCTCGTGGCGGGGGTGTTGTTTACGAAAATGAGAGGACGAAAAGCAAATGTCCGGCGCTTTAACCGGATTCCAAATCAACGGTGCACATGGGTTCCAGGATCCTGAGGAAATAAATGACGTATGAACCAGTTATTGGTCATCGGCTACCGTGGGAATGCATCTCCTCACGATGCCCCACTACCTTGTGGATCAGACCTTTAGGTCAAAGGCTCGGGGAATGGCCCCCTAAGAAAACCACCTGCTTTGGTTTGGGCACCCGGTCAGTATCACAGCCCACACAAAATTGATGAACTCTTTATGCCTATGGAAGACATTCAACCTTGACGTATAACTGCCATAGTTTATTTGAAGTTCAGATAATGAAATGTCCTTAATCTAAAAGGGCTTATCTAAGAAGAAACGTGAATGTCGTCAAGATTCCATATAAAATTTGTTACTATTTACACAACAAATCAACGGTATCTTGTCATGAGTCAACAACTATTTATTAACAAACATATATTTTTAAGAATCAGGCTCACTAAAATACAAAATCTTACAATTTATAGTTCATTACCGTTATGCGAAATGTGAAAAAAGTGATTTTTAATCTAAAACTTATAATGATTTGGTTTATGTGCTACATTTGAGCACCAAACAATACTTACACTGACATTTTAGTCGTCCACTAGATGTTATTCTATGAATTATGAAACTAGAAAGAATCTATTAGGTAACAATATGGTTAGAGATATAGATTAACAATGATGTAGATACAGAGATCAAAGAATACTTATATGGTTGAAATACACTTTACAGTATTTAAAACATAGAAATGATTACAAAATGAGTAATATTAAATCATTCCGACCAATCAAATTAGACATAGTGACAAAGTGATTAGATTGGTTATTGATTTATTTGAGAAGTTTTTGTAGAGTTTTGAAAGGTGTTTATCAGAGTTTATTAAAATATCGATTCTTAATTGTGGGGTTTTCATTGATTTCTGTTAATCATAAATATACTTAAGTAATTTATAAATTATCTTAGTAATTTGACTTATGAATAATGATTAAGAACATATTTGTAGATACGAATTAATTCAGAATACTGATTGTACTGTTTATTATTTTTATGAATAATAATACAGTTAAATATATGCTGGCTCAGTGGTCTAGAGGTTAAGCGTTCGCGCGCGAGGTTGATAGCTCCTGGGTTCGAGTCTTATGAGGCGTAATCGTGGATGTGCACTACTGAGGAGTCCCAAAATCGGACGAAACGGCCGTCCACTACTTCCAGGTTTTCCATGGAAGTGGTCTAGCTCCAATTGACTCATGAACTCAACTATTGAAATTATTATGATATCCACAAAAAAATCCCCTTCTGAAATATCTATATGTTACTTTCCGGATGATATTTCAGACTTTTTAGTAGAAGGTCAGTTTCCTTGACGTTATGAATACTGTTTATTAGTTGGTTACTGTCAACGAGCTTAGTTTAAGAAAATAACAAATAACTCATACTGACTTATGTAAAAAAGATGTAGTTATTTGTTTTGGATTGATTTTCTAAATTGAAAAATCATTTCAATCCATCGAGACCTGGATAACAGTTTCGTCCTAATTTAAGGATCTAGAACAATGTGTACACGCGACTCTAACTTGGAATCTTGAAAGGAAGCGCTAAAAAGGAAGGTCAAAGAACACATTACGTCGGTAAACAAAAGCAGATATGAAAAAAATGAATAACAACTGGAAAGTATTGCCTAGGACAAGTGTTATAACCCAGTGAAGATTAAATTACAGGTAACTCCCGAGGACTACTAATGGACTAATATTCTATAAATATTCTTATTGTAAAAATATTGAATAATTAGATTATGTATATTTATATTCCTCTTATTTCAAGCTTTATTTTGAGCTATAATTTATTATTGTACGATTTACGGTTCTTTAGCTATGCTCAGTCTATTATTCACTGTCCCCCTCGTTCACAGCCACTTTTTGGCTTATTTGTGTACACATGTTATTTTCTATTTTATGGTACGTCGTGGTCTGTCTGATTGATATATAAACCGGGTATGTCTGAAATAAACGATCTGCTCTGATTCGATTCATATTACGGAAGCTGGTATTGTGTTCTGGACTCAAGTGGAAGGGCTCGGAGGACATAGGACCAATAAGGACGCTAAACTGCCCACACCGGTTGAACGTCATTGGTTGGCCTAGTGTGAAGATTCGTATAAGTCGTATTCAGATTGGTAGTTAAATCGTGTGATAGAAAAACCAGACGTCAAGGTCATGACAACAAGGTTGGGTAGAGAGTGCTGGCGGCGTAGGTAAGTACACGCGACCCCAAACAGGTCAAGACTTCAACATTTACATTTTGTGGTTAGAAAGATTATAAAGGCAAATGATACTATTTAGCAGCTTAGGTCAAATTAATTGAATGAGCTTGATATCAGGGCTCACCCGTTCATTATTTACTGATATATACTTTTATGGATAGATTATGGATGATCTGTATAATGACAATTATTGTGTCTAAAAAAAAAATCTAAAATGCTGAAGTTTAAAAATCAAAGTATAAAATGTCAACAACTTGAAGCATTTCAATTTTAGAAATGATTTCAATGATCAAGTCTGTGGAAATCCGGTTACCAAAGAAGCAATTCACTTAATCATCAGATTATATATAATGAGAAAACTATATTGACTAAATGAAACTTAACTGAATTAAATATTATAACTGGCAGACATAGTA